AGAGAGAGAGAGAGAGAGAGAGAGAGAGAGAGATTGCCCTTTCCATATAAATAACATTGACCAAAGTTAACAGAAGTTTAGATGTAAGATAAATGTAGAAAATCTCATTGAAAACAATACTTATATAATATTTATGTCAATGTTATGAAAGAGATAGACATAAAACACTCAATAAAAATTAATTACAAATTGTCATTTCTTAAATAAAATTTATTTATGATCGCAGTTATGATTACAACAATAGTTCACACAATACTAGCGTTATTGTTCGTGGGGTTGAGGTGTGGGCTCGACATAGGGTATGGGATCGCAAGTGTCGGCCTCGTGGCGATCGGCCTCCAGAGGCGTGAGGTCTATGAATAGGGGAGAGCCGAGAAACATGACCCGATCGGTGTGATCGATGATCTCGTATCGGGTCAACGGGTGAAACAGTACCGATTGGTTGCCTCTGTTCAACATAAACCACGACATGCCGTGCGATAGAGAGCTTGAGTTACAACAGGTCTCGAAACTGCCGATCGGATGCGGACCCGTCGGCACCACATTGAAGTGGTTCACACGACATCCCTTCAAAACACCACGCTCAATCTCCTCGTGAACCTGACGCCTGCATAGTGTTATAATATAATGTAGTTTTTATCATTAGTTTTTGGTTAGATTTGTATTGAAATGAGTTGTGTTTAATTACCTAAAAAGCAAAGCTCTTTGATAACTGTTTTTGTTGTTTTGAAAGAAATAGGTGTGAAAGTGGTAACCAGTGATCTCCGACTCGTCCCAAGCGTTTGTCGTCAATACAACCGCCGCTAAAGTTATAACTAATAGTATTATTGATTTCATTGCTTATTTAAACGATTTGTTTTAATTTATATTAAACTTTTGAAATTATTATTAATAAAACTTAGAACTGAATTCAAACCATTTTTTCTCAACTATTTATATATTGCTGTCGTTATCTAAAAAAGGGTTCAAAAATATAAACAAAACCATATTTTGTGTAATCAGTCGCCAATCACTTAATCAACAACACTAGGGATTCACAACTCTATTCATTACCATTAATATATTATAATTAAAAGATTTAATAGTGTTATAAAATATTTATTTGTATTTTATCAGCAGAATTAAATGTGCAATAAAACATAATTTCAAGAACAATACCTGGTACTAATTATCAATTGCATGTACTGAATAATGTTAATCCTTATGTAGAACTTAGAATTTATCCTTATTTCTTAGTATAGTTTGTTATTTAAAAGTTTATATAGATTAATTCTGCTGCAAACTGCTATAAAGGAAAATAATAATATCATGGATGGGCACAAAAGGATTACTTATCAAATAATAAAGCAGTTGATACGAAAAGATATGTATTGTGTAGAGAGAATTATTTCTGCTCAAATTTTCTGCTCTGAGATAGTAGTAAACTTCTGGTATATCCCCAAACCATTGTGACCTCAGTCAACACAATGTTCTCAAATTATTATGGAATTGTTAGACCATAATAATATGTTTACAAAAATTGTATCTATGTGTTCCAAAAGACATTGGGTTCTGTAGTAGTGACCATTTTGTTTGGAAAACATTTTGTCAAAATATTAACATAATTAATGGATAATTATATCATATTATATATTAATCGAACAGATTTGATGAGTAGAATATGAATCCAAACAAATTCTTTAATTCTTATGTTTAATAAAAACAAAATTCTAAAAATAAACAAGGTTTTAATTTACGGTACTTAAGATATAAGCGGTTTTCATCATTATAAGTAATGAGTACTTGAAATATTTTACATATATAATTTATTTTGGGCAAATTCAATTATTTAAAAAATTCCCCAAGGCAAGGATTAAGAGGGGGAGGTTGCGACCCTCCTCGCTGGGCGGTTTGGGGTATTCCTCTGATTCTTCGGGTGATGTGCTGTTTCTGTTTTTATTAGGCGTATTTGAGAACATTGTGTTGACTGATGTCACAATGGTTTATGGGATATACCGGAGTGTTACTACTCTATAGAAATTTTTTAAAAAAAGATTAAGTGGTTCTCTATAGTATTGTGTCAGATTAGAAGATCTTCTGCCTTTGATTGTAAATGGAACGAATAGTTATCATTAGACATTACACTTAAATGTATCACTCTCTATTTCCGAATAAGTAACACACAGAGATGCTATAAGATAAATGTCAGTTTCACGTGAATTCCAGGACATTATTACCTTGTATACTTATTGAGGTTTTAATGAATTATTACGTGGTTCATTTTCCTTGTATACTTATTGAGGTTTTAATGAATTATTTCGTTGTTCATTTACCGCCAAATAAATGTCAGTTTCACGTTAATTCCAGGACATTATTACCTTGTATACTTATTGAGGTTTTAATGAATTATTTCTTAGTTCATTTGTGTTCAAATAAATGTCAGTTTCACGTGAATTCCAGGACATTCTTACCTTGTATACTTATTGAGGTTTTAATGAATTATTACGTGGTTCATTTGCCGCCAAATAAATGTCAGTTTCACGTGAATTCCAGGACATTATTACCTTGTATACTTATTGAGGTTTTAATGAATTATT